AAGTAAGAAATAAGACAAGATTTTTACACAATAGTCTATATAAATAAAGCACATACACACAAAAGAAAAATTCACATTTCATAAGAATACCTGCATAAGAAAGAGAAGATATTAGATGAGAGTTTTTTTGTAGCCTAAGATCTATAATAACACACCAAAACTGAGGACAAGAGGTAATAGGTATCAACACATTCTAAATAAAGGGGCTAGATATATCCACACAAGGTTTGCTCTAAGATGTTAAAGCTGATCCAGAGACCATCACCCTTTCTACTATATGAAATTAGAAATGAAAGATTCATTGACAGGAATCTTTAGGAATAGGGAGAACTTCTCCCTGCAAGGCAAAGGAGCAGTGCTGTTCCCTCCATCCTAAAATGAGTGAGGAGGGCTCCAACAGGACCATTTGCAGACATTTTATATCCCCACAGGATTGAGACATTACATTCATTCAGTATTATATCATCTAGCTAGAGGCTTGCTAAGCTCAGAAACTTACAGACCCATCTCTATCTGGCCACTGGGGTGAAGTCTAGGGTGGAGGATTCTTGGGAGAACATAACTTGAATCACTTATGAGGATTTGGAGCCATGTGAGTACAGATTGGTGCTTAGTTCTCACATGGAGAAGTCAGACTCAGGCTGGCTGGGGCAGGGCAGAAAGAGAAAAGCCAGTTGCTGGCTGGGCTGTACTTCCACTATGTGGCATGACAGATATGTATGAGTTTCCTGTGTGTTCCTTAAAAGGTAACCCAGTCTTGTGGATTTGCTGGGACCTCTCCCAGGAGGGCTGCCTGCTAGGATACAGCACTTCAGCACTAGGAGGCACTATCAGGGTCAGGGGCTGAGGAGCTGAGGGGCAGCGTGGGCTGTGTATCACAAGGAGACAACCAAAGTCAGTGTGCAAGCTCCTCGACACCTCACACAAGAGTCCAGAGAACCCCAACACCTCACACAAGAGTCAACATTTAAACACTTGTCTTGATATAACACACCAATGATACATTAACCATGTAAGTTTAGTCTTTCTCCCTCTAACACACCCTCCCCCATTCTTTAGTAGGATTTTTTGGCGGGGGGGTCACAGTCAAAATGATGTATTTTGCCAATTTTAAATTCATGGGACAAGTAGAAAGTGTTGACTGGCACCTGGATAGATCACCAAATGTTTGAAGCACCCTGAAGGAGCAAAGAGGGTTTTGAGGTCAAGAGTAAGGTAGATAGGATGTCCATAGGAGATACATCCAGGGTATAAAATGACAACCACTGCAACACCCCCAAATGCAGTAAACTGAACACAATAGAGGTTTATTTCTTGTTCAAAGTCCAGTGCGGATGTTCTTGGTCACGAACTATTCTCCAAGTAGTGACTTAGGTATCTAGACTTCTTCCATGCTATAACCATGACTATTACCTTCAAAACATGTGCTTCAAGGTCACCTTAGCAGGTAGAGGAGGGAGTGGAAGAACATGGAAAAGGCTTAGCTACCTTTTAACTGGTCTTGGTCAGGTACTGAAATATCACTTCTGCTCACTTTCCATTGGTGAGAACTATTCACACAGCCCTGCCTAGATGCATGGAATTGGGAAATGTAGTTTATGTAGAGAACATTTTGGTGGGCAAATGGCCATTTTCTTCCACAGAAGAAAAGGTGATGCTGCTGTAAAGATCTGGAAGATGAAAATGAGCTCACTGGGGAAGAGTATTCTACGAGGACAGAGCAACATGTGTAAAGACCCTAAAGTAGAAATGGCTTGAAAACCCTAAGGAATGAAAAGCCTGTGTTGTGAGAGGGCAGGAGTGGGTTAAGATGCAACTGGAGGTGGAGGCCTGGGCAAGATCACTCAGGGCCTGGGAAGGAGTCTGTCTTTGGTTCTTGGGGCAATGAGAATCCACTGAAGGATTTTAGGCAGACAAGTGACATAATCTGATTTACATTTTAAAAAGATCACTTGGCTGTATGGAAAATTAATTGCTTTGGGGACAGGAGTAAAAGCAATGAAACCAACAGAGCAGTTACTACAGGAGTCGAATATCCCAGAAACAGGTGGCTGGTCAGAAAAGTCACCTGGGAAAGAGGACGACCCAGGATGAAAGGTTCTAATTATTGGTCTCTGTGAAAAGCTGTAGAGAGCTTTGTGCAATTACGTAAATGGCTCAGTGTTTGGAGCTAAGCTGTGTCTCTGCCAAGATCATGTCGTTTCTTTTGGAACTGTGTTCCCTTAGGACTGTATTATGGGAACAGAAGTTGGAGCACACCAATAACTGCAGAAGCGATTAAGTGTTTACTTGGAGACCTCTAAAAGGGATGCTGAAGGAGCTCAAGATATAGATTGATATTCAAACCCAACTTTACTTTTCTCTCTTACCACCCCTCAAACTTTATTGAGGTGTACGTCTTCCCTGCTGGAGAAAAGCTGCAGCAAGCCTGTGACATTCTTAGTTAATGATAGTCCTATGATCAGTTTAAAGCATGAACATAATCTTAATTAACTAATTAGAATGTCTAATCTTGTGTAACAATAAATAATCTGCACCTGTTGTAGCTTTAAATATTTTCTCCTGCCAGCTCTGCCCCATCTAAGTCAAGGAGCCTGCACTAGGGAAGAGAAGAGTGATCTGTATGCTCTTTGCTCTTCTTACCACCTAATTGCTAATTGTTCTGGGCCCTGAGAAGAAATATAGGAGAATAAAACAGTCTGGCTTGACTTGGTAGTTCTATGCCCTATGGGCCTGGCAGATATTTAAAGGGGGAATCTCTGTTGTCCCCTCTCTGCAGTTCCCTGACCCTGACGGAGACAACTCTATCCTGAGTGGTCCCCTGCAACTCCCTCCTCAGCTCTCCTAGCTTCTTAGTGCTCAGGTCTCCCGGCCTCTTCAATGGTCCTACTGGACAGGACCCAAGACCATCCCATACTTCCCTCTCTCCTGGAAGGTGTGCAGAGGATACACTCATGCATCATTTGCCAGGACAAATTCTAGAAATGCAGGCCAATGCAAAAGCAGCAGCACTCCCCTGGCTCCACTGTCGAATCAGTTAGTGAGTCTCTGCTTGCCCTCTACATTCCCAGGGCAGGAGTTAAGACTCCAGGCTCATCATTCCTTAGCTGTAGGAATAAACACTTTCAGTTTTCCAAATGATCCCAGTGGAGTCCCCAGCTAGACTTGAGGTGAGAGGGCAGAAACCCGCTCTCCCCCACAAAGGAGGGGGTTGGGTTCTGACAGCCTAGCTGTCTCAGAATATCAAGCTCTCTGCAAGGCAATCTTGTACCAGTCTCCTCCCATCTCATCCATCCTCTTTATGACCCTGAACCTTACGTGTGCTATTAATACTGCCAGCAATCATACTCCATTTCTTTATTTCATGCATTCCTTCCCCTAGAAACAATATTCACATTCTCCTCTCCTCAAAACCCCAAGCTCTTCTCCTCTATTCTCACTCTCAACTGATAAATTTGCTTCCTGCTTCTCTCAGAAAAAGTAACCAGAAAAGAAATTTGGGGGCTCTACCCTGATCTACCAAATCAGGAACTTTGGGAGGGGGCTTAGGAATCTGCATTGTAAGGAGTCTTCCAGGTGATTCTAAAGCACTCTAAAGTTTGAGAGCCACTCCCTTTCAGAGGAGTGGGAGCAACTCCTTCCCACTCCCACTTACCTCCTACTACTCTTGCCTCTCCCTCAATCTGTTCTAGCCACACTGGTCTCATTGTTCCTTAAACAGAGAGCATGCTGTTATTTCTTAAGGAAATATACTTTTTTTCTCTCTTCCGCCTAGGCTCTCAACATTAGACACTGAAGCCCAGGTATGGACTAGAATAAGAGCTTGTCCTGAAGCCAATGATGGAACAGGGAGGACCCAGATCAAGCTCAGGAGAGTTCTGCTTTCAGAATCAGGGTGACTGACAGGGGCTGCTAGGAAAGTCCGGGGCCTGCATCAGATCCAGAGACATGTTTACTCAGGTGGCCTGAGCCAGAACAGGCAAAGGGAGAATCCAAATTATAAGTATGGGAGGAAGGCAGACCCCAGCTGTCCTGCTGAGCATAAGAAAGAAAATAGGCAGAAACAACGGACAGACCCTCCTGCCAATGAACAGCCCAACCTCTCACCCCTACATGGCATTAATCAGTTGTTTATGAACAAAGACCCAGCTCCCTCACTACCCCTTCCAAGGACAGCTCAGAATTTTACAGACTGAGTCTCTAAAATATCCTAAGAAATAAGTCTGTTGAAGCTCAGTCTATTGACTGAGCTCTCCCAGTCTTAGTCAACAAATCTATTCTTTACCCTTCAACTTCCAGACAGCCTAGGAAAGGTCTTCAAAGAACAGTAAGGCTTAAGACACAAAAAAGCCAGAGCAAGTTTATTGAGCATCTCCCATGTTCCCAGCCCTGGCTATGGATTTCCTCAGTTAACCCACACGGCAGCCCTGTAAGACAGGAATTCTGCCATTTTCCAAATAAGGGATGTGATATTCAGAGATTAAATGACTCCCAGCTCTGAGTGGCAGGCCAGGATTTGAATCCAGCTCTACATGATTCCAAAGTCTATGCTATTAGCCCCATATACCCCAAGGTCCCACAAGACAACAGGTAGTTGGGGGAGTGGTTTGGTGTACATGATTCCAAAGATGGAGATGAAGACAGAGGGAAAAGATGAACCACTAGAAATGCTTAGTACAGGGACATCCCAAGTCTTGACCTGGTAGCTCACATTGATGTGCTGAGTCAGGATGTTGATGGACTACCAGTTGTCTCAGAGCCCAGAAGCAACAGCTACCTTTGTGCAGCCCGGAAGGCCTGGGCAGACTGAAGCTGCAGGAGCAGAAGCTATGGGTAAGCAAAGGAAGCTCATCTGTAGACAGATCAGAAGAGAGCAGAGATGCCAGGACAGAAAGGCCATGTGGCTTTTGACATGGAAAGAGAAGCCAAACCCAGAGGTGCTTTGAATTACAAACCATCTAGTTTTCATGACACCTAAGGTGATTCATGATTCCTAGACATCCCCATGTTCTCACAATAAACTCTTTATTCTTTATCTCGCCCAAGTGACTTTATGCATCCTGTAACCAAGAAGCCTTCAGAGGAGCAGGGCTGAGCCAGAGGTTTTATCACACCTTGTTCTTGGGATGGAGGAAGGGTAGTACCAGGTTATGGCTCATGCTCTTCAGACTTATGAGCCTCAAGTTCAAGTTCTGCCTCCCCTTTCAAGGGAGATTCAGAGGTCACCTGCGCTTGTAGAGACATGGCTGAAGCTTCAGGCCTGAGAGTTGAGCCTTGGGCCCTACCCGAGGGGGCCCAGTTTTTTGAAAATCAAATAAGAAGAAGTGGCTGTTTGTCAGGTCCTAGGGGCAGAAGAGATCCAGTGAGATCCAAATCCTCACCCCAATTCTTCAAAACACTTCCCTCCACATGCTGCCTCTACTCAGAAAGCTTCCCAGGGCTCCCCCTTGCATTGTGCTCTTGGGGAGCAAAATGTCTGTTCCTGTGCCTATGGCCTCCTTCCCAAACACCATTACCCTGAAAAGGGCCACACATGAGATTAAAAATAGGGATAGACTTGTTGGGGCCCTCACCTTGGAGATGACCTTGAAACCCAGCTTGGACACTGCCCCTAGAAAGACCCGAACATCCTCAAAGCGGCTGCTGACCTCAGCAACTTTCAGGAGACCCCTAAGAAGGGCAGAAAATCCTGTGTAAATACAGACACGTGTATGTTTATATACAATGCATCTGTGTCCTGGGGGCTCCTACCCTGGCTTCAGCACTCGATTTGCCTCCTCTAGGAAGTCTCTGATGTTGGTTCCCATGAGTGAAAGGCAAAACACAGCCACATCCACAGACTCATCCTCCAGAGGCACCTGTGGAGAATGGGGGTGTTGTATAAGGCATACCGTGTCAGAAGGAGAAAGCCAGCATTGAGTGCTAGGGCTGGACCCCAAGCAGGGAAGGGGATGGGGGAGAGGAAGGGCTAAAGAGATTAGCATATGGAGGTTGGGTCTAGAGTACAAGCCAGATTCATAGAGAGGTTTACCTGGGCCATGTCACACACAGTGACCCTGGGGTCCAGAGAGGCCAAATCAAAGCAGTGCACAGGATTCCGGATACTTGAAGCCAGGCGGCAATCCCCGCAGCCAAAGTCAGCTACCACTAGGGACGTAGGCCTAGGAGTGGAAGGGATGGGTTATACACCAGTCTGGTCTGAGCCCATGACTGACCCACATGGCTTCTCACAGTGCCCAACCCCCATTCACCGCTGGCGAAGATCCTTGGCAATGCGGTCCACTGGCTGCAGGGGCCACTTCTTCACTTGGCTCTGGAAACCACGGTGGTAAAGAAGAAAAGCCTCAGGGTCTTCCTGGAAGAGACGTTGTGCAGCACTGCTGGGCCCTAAGTACAGCTGTTCGTTGAGGTAGCGAAATCGGGCCCCATCCAGCCGCTGTGCCATGCGGGTTCGCAGAGCCCCAGCACGAGCCTCATGGCTGTCTGGCCTGTGGGAAGGAGGCACACCTGTCTCCTCTGTGGGGGCCTGGGCTGCAGTCTGCTCTGCCACCTGAGGTGGCCGAAACTTGTTATTGTGTCTCCGCTTGTTCTTCTGCCGGTTCCGCCACTGCCTGCGGCTCAGGGTATGAGGGGGTTTAGGGGAAGTGGACTCAAGGTTTGGCTTGGGTGGGTCCTTTGCAGCACTACTCTTCCAGGCTTTGGGACCTGCAGGAAGGAAGATGGAAAGATGTATTTGGAGCAAGATCTCCTAAATTCAGAGGCTTGGCAAGTCATCCTGGCCATACCCTTGTCCTTTAGACAGAGAGACAGAGATAAAAGTACTTCTTACTGACTAAGCACACCATTAGCCCCAATCCTAAGAATGGTAGGTAAGCTCTGCTATATGTAGAATCAGCTGACCCCCTACCACCCCCCAAGCACATCAGATAGTACCTGAATGGTTAACACTGTCCAGGTGCTGGGCTGGGTTTGAAGGGGCATGTTTCTGGTGTTTCCTCTTTTTGTTCTCTTCTTCAGCAGAGTCACTGCCAAGAAGAGCCCGTTTATGACACTTCTTCCTTTCCACTTCCCTTTCCTCAGAGGCACTCAGGCTCTGTTTTTGACATTTCTTCTTCCTTTTCTCCCCTACTTCAGCAGAGGCACTGGTAAACGATACCTTTTTGGGGCGTTTCTTTATCCTTTCCACCTCCTCCTCCTCAGAGTCATTGCTAGGTAGGCCAGGGGGTTGGTGGGAAAGAGATGCTGCTTCTAGGGCCCGTAATGTAGCTAGGAGCTGGCGGTGCTTGGAGCCCTAGGGGAAAACAAGGGATGAGAGCAGGGCTGAGAAGAATGGATGAGGCCTAGAGAATTAAGAACAGAGAAATGGGGACCTGATTCAAACACTGGAAGAGTCATCTGGATTCTTCCCAGTCAAATTAACTAGCTTGTTGTGAAGCCTGCCAGACTCAGATGAATTTTCCTGTCACTATCCCAACATTTGGGAGGCTGGAGGGCAGAGAAGCCACCTACCCCACTTTCTCCAATGTGCACATAAGGTAAAGGAGGTTCCCCCCAGAGGAATATGCTAAGGCCACAAGCAACAGGACCAAGACCAGAGACCAGGAGTTCCAACCCTCTCAGGCTTTTGTCTCCAGCCAATACCTTTCCATACGGGGTTTCTGAACATAGGAGGGGCATGATGACACATGTGTATGGAATGTTTCTAGCTGCAGTGTAGAGAACAAACTGAAGGGGAGAAGCTGCAGACAGAGAGACCAGTGGCCTGGATTATGGCAATGGGCTGAGAGGATGAAAAGGAGGGAGCAAAACAGGCAGATTCCATGTTGGAAGCCAACCAAAGGGTAGGAAAAACCTGAGGAAGTACAGAAGCACTCACATCTGCAGAGGCTCAAAGGAGAAGGTCTATTGTCCAGGAGGCTGCTTCTGGGTTGAAGCCCTATTGGGTGGTCGCAGACCAGGCACTTACCTTGGAGATTCTCAGTTCCCCACATCCTCCCTTGAACGGTAATACTGACAACTCTTTGCTGTCATCCACTCTCACTTTCTCCAATCCATTCCACACTGTAATTAATGACTTTTACAAAATACAAATCCGAAGAAACCATTCTTTCGCTAAAAAACATTTCATTAGCTTCTTTCTATCCTTAATATATACAAAACTTCTAATCTACCTCTTAAACTTGAACAGCATCCCCTCTCATTTACTCTGTGCTCCAACCACACAGAGCACTTTTTCGTGTGTGACTCTAACAGAACATGCTCTCTTGTCCCATGGCCTTTGCACGTGCTTTTCCTGTCTGAGGAACCCTCTTCAATTCCAACTTCTACTCAGCAACTCTCTCTCAGTTCCAATGTCACCTTCCTTTGGCAGTTAGTTCCTAGATCTTCAGATCAGGACTCGCCCCTAACAGTGCCACAGGTGCTCCTCCCCGCAGTACATACACACGGTGTGCCCCCAGCGGCGGCACCCACCAAGGTCCTCATCATGGCTTGAAACAGCTCCCACTGGCTTGCGGGACGACCCACCTTGTTTTGAGAGGCTGCTGCGGGCCGAGGCTGTGAGGTCACGGACCCTAGGCCCAAGGCTGCCGGGGCCGCCTCGGCCCACTCAGGCTCCTCGAACATGCGGGTGTGGAGGGCAGGGTCGCGGAGTCCGCACTCCTCTCCACGTGCAGAGCGTGTCTGGGAGCCAGAGCGTTCAGCCAGAGCGGAGCCGGAAACCAGAACGCTAGAACCGGAGGCGGCTAGAGCGGCCGGCGCGGCGTAGAGAACCATTGAGTTTAGACAGGAGTAGGCTAGAAGGGCAAAGGAGTGGGTAGGAAGGGAGGGAAAGCGGCCCGCGCTGGCCAGAGAGGGCCAGGGGCGGGGCGGGGCCGGGCGGCGGGCGCGGCCGGACGGGAGTTCCCCGGAGAAGGAGCCTTCAGCCCGAGTCCCGGTGAGTGCGAGGGAACTTGCGCCCTCCTGCCCAAGACTGGTCCCTGCCAACCCGTTACCCCTCACTCCACCTGAGTTCTGAGTAAGGAACGGGGGCCAACCCCGGGAGGACCCCCGATCCCCTCCCCCAGGGCATACAGAGCCTGAACCTCCTCCCTTCCCCCAGCTCTGTTCGGGGGTAGGGTCTCCGTGCCTGCTCTCTGACATCAGTTGAAGAGAGAACTACTTCTTAATCACCTCCTGCCCCGCCGGGACCCGCCTTTCCCTTGCGCCCAGAGGACACAGTCTGGGATCATCCTGCTGCCCTGAACTCCTTCACAGACTCCCACCCCCAACACTTCTCTCCAGTCTAGGACAAAGCCTGGGGTTCATTCTCCTTCCCTGGATCCCCCCATTCCCCTACCCCCAGTCCCCAGGCTTCCCCAATCCGGGGGACTCAGCGCCGGGACGCTGCTATGGACGACATTTTCACTCAGTGCCGGGAAGGCAATGCTGTTGCCGTGCGCCTGTGGCTGGACAACACGGAGAACGACCTCAACCAGGGGTGAGCTGAAGTAGCTGGTGGATGAGAGTAAGGGTAGAGATCTACTCCCCTCGGCTGCGTGGGGTGCTCTGGTGGGGGCGGCTGACTTTGCCATCTAGTGTGATGAGTGCTAAGCACAGCCTGTGGGGGGCAGAGGGTCTCCACAGAGGAAGCAGTGTGGAACTCTTCTTCAGCAGTCAAGATTCTGCTCAAATCTGCCTCCCTGAACTGCATGGGCAAAGGCTAGGAGGCAAGACACAGAGCGGAGAGTGCCACGAAATTGTCTGGAGTTCCCTATGGCTGGAAGATAGAAGATCTCTGTGGGCAGAAATATTGGGTACAAGTGGAAAAGGACAGACACTGGAGACGTGTGCAAGTGTCAGCCAGATCATGCAAGCACATTTAGGCTATAATAAGGTCTTTATTCTAAGAGCAAGGTTTTAAAGCTGTTTACTGATATGATGAAATTGTCCATTTGTTCAATATCATCTTGGATGCTTTGTGAAGAGCACGGGGGAAGGAGGCAATGACCTAGTCCATCCTAGAAGTGATGATGTTTTGCACTACAAATGGGGTAGATGAAAAAGAGAGAAGTGATCAGATTCCAGAAGTCTTTAGGATGAAGTATTGGGGGACTTAGTGTGGGAATTGAAGAAGGGCAAATATGACAACCAAGCTTCTGGCTTGGGCACTTGGATAGACGGTGGTTGCTTTTACTGAGATGGAGGAAGCTGAAGGAGGATGAGGTGTTCTGTTCCAGACATGTTAAAGTTAGGTGACAGTGCAGCAATGTGGAAATGTTGAGCAGGTTGTTGGTTATGCAGAGTTGCAGTTCAGGAGAGATCTGACTTGGAGACACAGATTTGGGAGCTATCAGCATATAGATGATACCTAAAGACATGGATGTGAAGGAGAGTACCTCAGAAAAGTGGAAGACAAGAGGGCAGGGGACAAGCTACGAGTTGAAGGAGAAACAGGAAAATGTGTAAGTAAAGCTTAGAGAAGAGAATGTTTTAATGAAGGGGGAATGGTCAATGGTAGTAAGGCTACTGTGAGGTCAAAGAACATGAATACTTTAAAGTAACCATTGAATTTACAATTAGGATATATTTGATGATCTCTGTAAGTGCTGTTTCAGAGGAATAACAGGTGAAACCAGACTATATTGAGTTCCTTCATTTAAGGGACTATACTGAACACCTCCTGTGCTGGGTGCTAGAGTCCCAGAATCAGACATAATCTCTGCCCTCAAGGCAGCAGTTGATGGCAGGTTGAAAAGTGAATGGGAGGTGAGGAAATACAGAAAGTGAATGTGGACAAGTTCTTTAAGGCTGGCTGAGATAGGAAGGCAAGAAAAGCAATAGTGATGGTGATTCAGGGTGGCGGATTTTGATTTTTTATTTTTTAACATTGGTAGAGTTTAGTTTTTAGGTTTGAGTGGTAAGGATCACCTGTCATCTTAGTGCAGGCTTTACGGGTTCCCATTAGACTCTGCACTATTTCTCCTTAATAATTTGCAGTTAGTTGTTCCATTTTTTATATAACTCTCAAAGAGTGCTCTGATAAAGACAATAAGCACTTTTACTATTTTGTTTGTGAGGAAATAGAGGCTTAGGCAGAGTTGTCCAGTGAGCTAGCATCTAGGAAGTTGCTGCCAAAAGGCAAAGGGTAGTATTAATGAAACTGGAAGGTTTTGGTGCTGGTTTGAGGGGTTAAGGTAAGGGGCTCCAAGCTGGCTATAGGCTAGATATGAAGAGCGGGTTAATTCCCTGCAGGTCTCCTTGAGAAAGAAGTCCAGGCCTTGAGGTGACAGGCAGCCTGACAGTGAACATATACTTTTGTACCCATACTTTTGCCCCAGGCTTTGGCCTGCTCTGGGGCCATAGGCACTACTAGAAGTTGATAAGGCAGGGCACAAATTAAAGGTCTCGGAGGCAAGATTGATTGATAAATGGGATGTAATTGCTTCCTGGGGATACCCTCCTCTGAGGAATTCTTTTGGCTATTTCTGTGTGAGCAGCTGAACGCAAGCTGTGGAAGGAAATGATTAAGTTAAAAGCCACACCCCTACCCCTTTTTGGCTGTGGGGGCATCTGGGTGTCCAGACCCCTGATCAGCTCCAGGCCTTTCCTAGAGCCCCCACAGGGGAAGTGACCGCAGCACTTAGGCATCCAGAGACTGCCTGCCTAGGCCATGGACCGCCCCCTGCTCCGCCCCTTGGATCTGCAGCCTGGGACTAGAGGGAATTTCCTTTTATGGCCCCAGGCTGTCAGGCAGGCCTAGTTCCAACTCAATTGTTTTGTTTTGTTTTGTTTTTAACAATTCTTTTACTTTATAAAATACACGTCTTTGGGAAAAGAAAAAAGTCGGGTATAGTTTTCATTCTGAAGCAGTCATTCTCATTTTCTTCTGTTTTCCATGCCAGGATTGCTAAGTAGGGGAATCCTGTTTTGTGTTGTGGTTTGTTATCTGCCTCATCAGTAATCAAAAGCATTTCACTTTTCAACATAAATCCTTCCAAAACATCATTTAAATTCCATTCCATTTTTAGATGTTATTTTCAGTTCCAGGGCCAAACAGTAAGCTTGCTTCCTCTCCCTTGAGCTGTGACCTTCCTTCTCCACGATACCCCATTAACATGCACTGAACACCCTCTGTCAATCCATTCCCTCAAGAAGTTTATAGTCTAACAGACAAGTACAGCCCAGATTTTTACAACCCTATGTGACAAGTGCTATAGCAGGGGGGATGTACAAGATGCAATGGAAAACAGAAAGGACCAACAGATGTTGCAGAAAGGGTACAGGGGCAACCAGGGGAAGAGTGCTATCACATTATTAATGAAATGAGGTGTCGGAGAAGGTGGTAAAGATAATGAATCTTATTATAAAGTTGTTGGGATATCTAGGTGGTTGGTTGGGTCTGAAGCTCAGGGAAAGGTCTGAATTGGACAGCTTTGGGAGTTGCTAGCATGAAGAAAGTCCTAGAGAGGTAAGCCTTCCCAGAGAGTATACAGAGTAACTATCAGTTTTTCAGGAACCAAAGCCTTTGCCCCATCCCACCTCCAGCTCAATGACCATTGCCCCTTCCTCAAAGGGACGATCATGGCTTCTCCCCCTTGCACTGGGCCTGCCGAGAGGGCCGCTCTGCTGTGGTTGAGATGCTGATCATGCGGGGGGCAAGGATCAATGTAATGAACCGTGGGGATGATACCCCCCTGCACCTGGCAGCCAGTCATGGACACCGTGATATTGTACAGAAGGTATGTATGAACCTCTGTCACCCAAATCACATACATGCCATGAGGTCAGTCACAGGCACTATAACATACAGTAGAAAGTATGTATACTCTTCTCCCTTTTGCCATTCCCTGACACCAGTATCTTATTTGGGACTGACTGTGCCTTCTGCCTCCTTTTTGTTTGGCCATGGGGCCCAGCTGTTGCAGTACAAAGCTGACATCAATGCAGTGAATGAGCACGGGAATGTGCCCCTGCACTATGCCTGTTTTTGGGGCCAAGACCAGGTGGCAGAGGTGAGTACTCAGTCTCTGAGTCTTAGGATGGGTAGGAAGCAAAGTCTGAGCCTGAGTGGGAGATTTTGGAACCCTCAACCCATCCTGTCAGTACTACTATGTGACACTCACAGGATTGTGTACTGCATGTGTGTGTTCATGGTTGGTTGACTGCCAGGGAAGTACCAGGGGCCCTCATCACAACCACCTTTTCATTCCAGGACCTGGTGGCAAATGGAGCCCTTGTCAGCATCTGTAACAAGTATGGAGAGATGCCTGTGGACAAAGCCAAGGCACCTCTCAGAGAGCTTCTCCGAGGTCCATCCCCTGCTCCCCAGCTTGTGTTCTCATTCCTCCCCTGCCTGATTTCTCTCTCCAGTTCCTCCATACCACAGCTCAGGCCGAAACTGGTTTTTTTGTTTTTTGTTTGTTTGGGTTTTTTTTGGAGACAGTCTCCCTCCGTCACCCTGGGTAGAGTACGGTGGTATCATCCTAGCTCACTGCAAACTCAAACTCCTGAGCTTAAGCAATCCTCCTGCCTAAGCCTCCCGAGTAGCTGGGACTACAGGCGCACACCACGACACTCAGCTAATTTTCTATTTTTAGTAGAGACGGGGTCTCACTGTTGCTCAGGCTGCTCTTCAATTCCTGGGCTCAAGCAATCCTCCCGCGTAAGCCTCCTCCCAGAGTGTTAGGATTACAGGAGTAAGCCACTGCACCCAGCTCTGAGACTGTTTTTCTTTCCCAGAGCGGGCAGAGAAGATGGGCCAGAATCTCAACCGTATTCCATACAAGGACACATTCTGGAAGGGGACCACTCGCACTCGGCCCCGTGAGTCACTGTTGCTGGGAGGAGGGGTTGTAGAAAGGAATAATTCTGGGCTCCTGGGGCTGGGTTAGGGTGAAGCTGGGTACCTGACCTGCGTACTCTCTCAGGAAATGGAACTCTGAATAAACACTCCGGCATTGACTTCAAACAACTCAACTTCCTGGCAAAGCTCAATGAAAATCACTCTGGAGAGGTGACCCCCTGCTCTTCTTGCCCTCCCTCCCTAAACCCCTATAAATTACCTGCTCTGCACCTGCTTTTTAAGTTTTTCTTTCAGTTAGTGGGCAAGGAATTGGTGGCCTTAGTTCAAGCCTCCTAATCCTACCTGTCCTTCAGCTGTGGAAGGGCCGCTGGCAGGGGAATGACATTGTCATTAAGGTGCTGAAGGTTCGAGACTGGAGTACAAGGAAGAGCAGGGACTTCAATGAGGAGTGTCCCCGGCTCAGGTAGGGCAAGGCCCAAACTGGAAGCTGCTAGTTCCAAGGAACCCTGAATAACACTGAGACGGGAGATCTTTTATGCTGGATGTTAGCCATTCTCTCCCTCTCCCAGGATTTTCTCGCATCCAAATGTGCTCCCGGTGTTAGGGGCCTGCCAATCTCCACCTGCTCCTCACCCAACCCTAATCACACACTGGATGCCATATGGATCCCTCTACAATGTACTACATGAAGGCACCAGTGAGTAGGGATGCTGAATCTCATTGGGGAGGGGATGGGAGAAAGGGTTCCTAAGCCTCTCTGAACTATTTGACTCTTACCTTCCTAGATTTTGTCGTGGACCAGAGCCAGGCTGTGAAGTTTGCTTTGGATATGGCAAGGGGCATGGCCTTCCTTCACACGTTAGAGCCCCTCATCCCACGACATGCACTTAATAGCCGTAGTGTAATGGTAAGGCCACAAGTTCATTTCTGGCTTAGGCCCCAAAAGCCCTTGGCTTATCTAGGACTTACCTCCTTCCACATATCCATCTTCTCTTGCTCAGATTGATGAGGATATGACTGCCCGAATCAGCATGGCAGACGTCAAGTTCTCTTTCCAGTGCCCAGGGCGCATGTATGCACCTGCCTGGGTAGCCCCTGAAGGTGGGTGAAGGCATTGTGTTGGGAAGTAGAGCAGGACCAGCTCAGTAGTAGTGCAGGGGGCAGACACAGAACAGGCCAGGTAGCCAAAACAGACAAGCCCTATCCTTCCAGCTCTGCAGAAGAAGCCTGAAGACACAAACAGACGGTCGGCAGACATGTGGAGTTTTGCAGTGCTTCTGTGGGAACTGGTGACACGGGAAGTACCCTTTGCTGACCTCTCCAATATGGAGATTGGAATGAAGGTGAGAGCAGAACTGCATACACTCGTGTTGGGGGAAAACTGGCGTTGGTGACAATAATTATAGTGGGCCTGGGTTCCTCCCACATTTGTTCGGATATATAGTTATATAGTAATTCTGTCCCAAGGACCAGAGTCTTCTCCTTACATGACAGACTTAAATTCTGAGGCTCACTTTTTCCTTGTATTCACAGGTGGCACTGGAAGGCCTTCGGCCTACTATCCCACCGGGCATTTCTCCCCATGTGTGTAAGCTCATGAAGATCTGCATGAATGAAGACCCTGCTAAGCGACCCAAATTTGACATGATTGTGCCTATCCTGGAGAAGATGCAGGACAAGTAGGACTGGAAGGTCCTTGCCTAAACTCCAGAGATGTCAGGACATGGTTGGGGGAGTGCACCTCCCCAAAGCAGCAGGCTTCTGGTTGCCTCCCCTGCCTCCAGTCATGGTACTACCCCAGCCATGGGGCCCATCCCCTGCCCCCATCCCTTACACTGTGGCCCCAAAAGGGCCTGGGCTCAGAGCTTTGTCACTTGCCACACGGTGTCTCCCAACATGGGAGGGATCAGCCCCGCCTGTCACAATAAAGTTTATTATGAAAACAGGCTGGTGTGGGGACATGGGGACAGACAAGTACATTTAGGTTGGGTGGCTCAGGTGAAGTAGTGCGGCTTCTTCACATTGATGCCATACTCGCTGAGGGCAGGGGTCAAGTCTTCCATGGTTAGAGTGTACTTGCGGTCCTGAGGGAAGAGGGAAGAACACCAACTGAGCACAGGAATCCCAGGCTTCGATCCCAGATGGGTGACCCTGAGTAGGTCTTATACCTCCCCTAGGACTTAGTTTCCCCAAAGGGGTTTCAGGATAAGTTGAGACTCCACTGCTGTGGAGGAGAATCACTGACTCAGTAAGCCTCCCCTCACACCTTGCTCTTGCTCCGGGAGCTGCCAGAGGCTGTGCCCTTCATTTTGCAGTGCTGTAGGGCATCGTTGGCAATATCTGAGATGAATTTCTGGGCAGCTAGGGAGATGAGTCGAATTCTAGAGAGAAAAAAATGGTATGAGGAGATGGACAATTCCTGCATAAACACCCAAAGCTCTAACCTGCCCTGGGTTTACTCACATGCGTGGGTCTGAGGCCTCAAAGCCAGCACGGTTCAGGTAGTAACCAGTCACTGCATCAGGGATCTGAGAAATCAATTAGACAACTGTCAGTGTTAGCCCTATGCCCTGCTGAGCTGAGACTGAGAGGAGGGTGAGGGAAATGGAGGATAAGCTTAGTTATCAGGAAGCTCACAGCTTGGGTGGGCAGAGGGGTGAAAAAAATCACAAGACCTAGTAGGGAAGCAAATATAAGACGAAGACGCTAAAAACCACGGAGATGTGGCTCAAAGTTGGCATGACAGCAGGCTAGATGGCCTTGTTCAGGCAGGAAGCCCACCGTAGGCGTGTAATCCTCAAGCTGCATTAAGAAGTCCACCAGAGGCGTGCTGGACACCACTGGCTTCACGTCTCCGTTGGCCGCGCTCGGCAGTACGTAAACCCCGTTAGACATGGGCCCCTCTGGGGGCGCCGCGCCGCCCGCCGACACCGGAGCTAAAGGAGAACCAGCAAACTGAGATACGGAGGTGGAAGGTGCAGGACCCCAGCTAGGTCCGCCTTACACCCTCTGCCCTCACCCGCCGCTGGGCCCAGTCCAGGGCGCTTCCCTCACCCTCACCCTCACCGGTCCCGGCCCTCACCCGCCCCGCGCCGCTCGGCTGGCTCCCCGGCCCGCGCCGCCAAGGGTCCCGTGCCCCCAGCCGTGGCTCCAGTCCCAGGTCCCCCTGCTGTCCCCGCGGGGCTGGCCTTGTTCTCTGCGGCGGTACTGGCGGGCAGCGCGGTGGGAGCTGACACCGGGGGCGCTGGGCCCGGGGCCGAAGCGGCGGAGGCCGGCGCCGGTTCAGGGTCCGCGCCGGAGCCGCTGCAGCTCATCGGGCCGGTGGGAGAGGCGGCGAACAGAGCCGCTTCCGCTTCCGCCCACGTTACGCACACCCGGGTGACGTCACACGCTCCTTGACTCGCCCCGCCTGTCCCAACGTTAGCGCTCTTGTTCCTCCTTCCCGCCTCCTGTGGGTGCCAGTCGGCCAGTTGGATGAAACAGACTGAAGGGCGGAGACCAAGCCCTGAGGAACTGCGCTGCGGTCACCATTCCACCCTCCTGCAGTGCTCCTTGGGGATTCCGCCGGGGTGGGTACGTCTGGGACTCCTCTGCGGGTCTGGGACACCTCATTCAGCCTGATGCTCAAAAGACCTTGCTTTGGGGCTCATCGGTCCGACATGCCTTGAATACGGATTGCCTACCAGGCTGCATTCTTTCTAGTTCCCTTATTTACCCTTTTAAGGGTTCATAGTTGATTCGGAAAGCCCCCCTCCCTACCAGCTGCCCCGAGAGGTGAGGGTAGCAGAAGGGCTGCACACAGGATGGAGGAGGCAGGATTTCGGCCTGAGTAGACAACATGCAAAAATCACAGCGAGTGAAAGGCGTGAGGTTTTCCATTCAGACATTTATTTAATTCTTATTTGCCAACTCTTGAGCTAGGGCCTGGGAATACAAAGTTAAGTAGGACAAGATTCTAGTCCTCTAGGCACCAACGGTCTTGGAAATGGAGGCAAACAAGTAAACTGGCAATTTCAATACTACATTGTCATTACAAATGCTAGAGGTAGGTACAGGGTGTGCAGTGCAAGGGAGTATGGGAACTAACATCTGCTGCCTACTTCCAAGTGTCAGGTACTCTACCAGCATTATTATGAAAGGCAGGTATTGATATTCCCACTTAACTGATGAGGAAACAGGCTCAGGGAGATAAACTTACTTGCCCAAGGCTCGCTCCTAGTCTATATCAGAACAGAGATTCAAAGAGGTTTGGTTTTGAAAATCTAGGATTTTTCTGCCACATCTAAATCAATTAATCTCAGGGAATCAAAACGTTCACAAGAGAAGATGACTTTTCAATTAAGTCTTGAAAGAATCCTGGAAATCAACCAAGCAGTTGTATCAGTGGTGGTGTTAAGTGGACAGCAAGGGTGAGAGTTCCTTGGATGTTAGGGATGAGAGAGGAAAAATGATTAGTTACTCAGGAATACATAGCAAGGAAGGTGAACCATGATTTAAAAAAAAAAAAAAAAGCCTGATCTTTAATCCAAAGATTACTGGATTAATCTTTGAAGGTTTTTAATCAAGTAAATGGCCTGATGGGATTTGGATTTTACTCTGGAAGATGGCTTAGGGACTGGTAGGCAGTAAGGACACTGTTTTTGCAAGGGCCTCCTATTATTCGGAGGAGAGAGAATATGGCTTTAAACTAATGTAGTAGCAGTGGGATGGAGAGAAGTGGAGAAGTTCTAGGTATACTTAGGACATATAATTAAAGGACTTGTGGATTGATAAGATAAATGGGAGTCAAGGATGATACAAGTTTCTGGCTTGGTTACCTTTGGCTTGGCATTGTATCATTTGCCAAGACAAAATGAGATGGAATAGCTTGGGCTTGGGAAGGAGAAAGGTGAAGTGTTGGGTATCACACATCTTATATTTGAGATATCTATCACTATTGGATAGAAAGTCTGATTCAGTGAGGTGGTGACGGTTGTGGGTGTCAGTGATTTGTTCCAGGGAACAATGAGTAAAGTGAGAAGAAGAAAAGACTAAGGATGGAACAACGAAGAACACCAGTATTCCATGGGGAAGCAGAGAAAGAGAGGTCTATGAAGGAGGAAGATAGGAGTGGTAAGAGACGTTAAGCCCTGGAAGCTAAAGAACGAGAGGGGTAGACAACTATGAAGGAAAGGCCATAAAGCAAAGATTGAGAAGTGTGCGCTGGAGGCTATTGTTTCTTGGTGTCAGGATAGGAAATAGTAATAGGGGAGAGCAGGGGTCTCATTGCAATGAATTGAGGAGTGAACATAAAGTAAAATAGTACACATGGTCAGTGTAGAGAATCCTTTAGAAAAGCCTGGTTGAAAAGAGGAAGGTGAGATGGGGAGAAGGGGTAGCCAAAAATGCTAGTTATACCATCTAGTTGAGAAACCTGAGGCAGGAGTAGGGAGACCTGAGTGTGATGGAGCATGGTAGGGTTGGGAGTCAAGTCAAGCTCACAGCATTTCAGGGTCTGGGAGATAAGCTGTCTGCAGCAGTCAACAGTTGAGGGTTCAGCAGAGCTTGCAATGGGGCAGAATAAGGGACTGAACCACTAGCTACAGGGCAGGGGACAGGTTGTTCTGCCAGGGAAGGGTCAAGGGTTGAGTAGTGTCTTCAGCAGAGCTGGGAAGTTGGGTGTTCCCCAACCTGTCACAGGATCCCAGCCAGCACCAGAGCAGAAACCCTGACCCTCCACCTCTTCATTCAGACAGGACTCATGGCAGCCATGGGTTACCTAGGAAGGAGGTAGGCATCAGATCTGGGCCTGCTGGTACCAGTACTAACAGACTACATCTCCTCACCCTCTATTCATATTTCAGAGGCTATCCCACACTGTCAGAACTGCCCCCAAATTCATCTTAGCACTCCCCATAGCTGTATGAAAATATCCACACCCTTCCCTTCCACACTCACATCAAAGAGTCCTGCCCCACGCTGCTGGTAGAGCCTTGGATTGAGAAAGCCAAGAGGGGGGCGGCCACTGAGGATTCTGTGCTCATTTATCAAGGATAGGATCCCCCCAAACACTGGAGTGGAGGCCTGCAAGGGTGAGGGTAAAAGTAGAGGTCAGGGGTTCAGAGTGATTGGACTTTTGGGGAGTGATGTTTAAAAGGATCAGAGGTCTCTAAGGAGTCAGGGGTTCTGGGTGCAAGGTCTTGAACATAGGGGGTGAAGGTAGTTCCTGAGTGGGGGTTTGGAGACAGGCTGATTCTCACCGAGGTGCCAGACACCCATGGAATGGGCACACTGTTGCTGACCACCCAGTAGCCATCAGAGAGCGCAGCCACATCTGGGTAGGCACGGCCACTGGCATTGAAGTAACTGGATGGTGGAAGGTGGGGACTAGAGCTCAGGAACTGGGCTACAGCTTCCTCCTGAAAGGCATTTTTGAGTGAGTATTGGCTTGTGGCCTACCCAATAGTATGCTGAACTAAGGATCCCCCATCCCTACTCTCACACCCATCCATCCACACAAATATATACGTACCTGGTATGAAGGCCGTGGAAACTCATTGCTGAAGCCACCACCACTGATATAGTCAACAATCTCATTTGTGATGAGGAAAGGATTCTGGAAGGATGTACCGCCCACTGTGGTGACATAAGGGCTGAGGGCAGAAGACAGCATTCAGATAGTAGGGGACCCTCTAAGATGTGTGGGGATGGGTGAGTATGGCCTGGGTCTTCCTTCCTAGACTCTTCAGGAAAGCATATACATGGGATTGACTAAGAAGGATTATTTTGTTTTGCTTTGTTTCTGTTTTTGTTTTTGCTTTTTAAGAGACAGGGTCTCACTCTTGTCACTCAGGCTGGAATGCAAGGGTGCAATCATAGCTCACTGCAGTCTCAAACTCTTGGGCTCAAGTGATCCTCCTGCCTCAGCCTCCTGAATAGCTGGGGCTACAGGTGTGCACCACCATGCCCAACTAATTTTTTTTAATTGTTCTGTAGAGATGAGAACTTGCTGAGTTTCTCAGGCTGGTCTGGATCTCCTGGCCTCATGCTGTCTTCCTACTTTGGCCTCCTAAAGTGCTGGGAGGCATGAGCCATGGGGCCTGGATGACTAATATTTTGAGCCCTCAAGGCTTGGCTTGAGGTGACTGCAAACTTTTCTCTACAGAACACCCACCCAGTCTTCCACCAAAATGCCCTGGGACCTAGGAAGAGGAACAATGGGAGCTGTATCCCACTCAGGAGACTTGGGGCCTGGGACCTATAAGAAGAAGAGAGGGGAGTGCAGCAACCAGGGTAGGTAAAGCTGAGGGCTGAGCCACAGGAGCACCTGGTAGGGTTAAGACAAAGGTTCTAGATCATGAGGTCACAGGTAAAAGGTTGTGGTCACAGGTAAGTTGTGTTCCAGGGTGCTTACCTGGAGGCGGGGAAGCTAGGACGGAACTGGTGTCTTCCAGAGACAGACCAACACCCAGCCCCACTGTCACCTGGAAAGAAACCAAGTTTAGCAGTCGTATCAACTGGGCAGAGCTTGGTATGTGGGTTCTGATGTCAGAGAGGAAATTCAGGTTTTAGTCATTACCGCAGGATGTCAGAGTTTAGAGGTTAGATCTGAGTTCAGATTATGAGTCAGAGATGAAGCTCAGGGGTCACTGTGGAATCAAAGCTCCCAGGGTGGGTGGCCGAAGGGGATGGTTCTAAGTTTAGGGCAGGAGGTCACCTGAGGCAAAGAGCAGGGTGAGACCCCGAGCAGCAGCCTTCATGAACTCAGTGTTGACCCGCTGGAGGTAGGCTCTGCTGAGTGAGTCTTCATCATCCCCATAGCTCACAGTGTGCACGTGTGGCAGGGCTGATTCATTACTGAGCAGCAGGAGCCACTGCAGGAAGGGCTCCTGCCCCTCATGTCGACCTGGATTATTTTTTGAGGGGATAGGCACAAGGGTGATCATTGGGGGGTTATCAGGATCTCCCTCCAGCTCATGGCATTCCCTTGAGGGAGCAGGGATCAACACTCATCCCCCACCCTCTTCCCCACCAGCCAGTCCCCTTGACATTACCAGGGTTACTGTAGACCCAGGTGGAGATGTTGGCACCAGCACTCATCAGGTACTGCACATCTAGACTGGCCTCAATTCCAGCCCTGCCACGGCCCTGCTGTCCAACCACGCGGGCTACTGATGCCTGGTGTACAAATTTGCCACCAAAGAGGCGCATGAACTCGGCCAGGTCTGAGCCATGGAAATACTGCTCCAGGAACTGTGGAGTGAGTCAGAGCAGGAATTATGAGTCAGAGAGTAAGTCCCAGGGTGGTAAAGCACTGAGGATACCACAGGGAAGCTGTGAGGACCCTGGGGCTCTCTACTTGGCTCACCTGGGCACAGGCCTGGCTGTTATTGCTGGTGCCAGTGCCCACGTCTTGTGCTGTCAAGTTGTATCGCTCACGGATCACAGATGGGGTCACCCCCAGATGCAGGCCACCAGTCCCTGCCACCTGTGGCTCAGGGCGTTGCCTCAGGGATGACGTGGGGGGGAAACGGTGCAATCCTCCCACTGTAGGGAGGGTTCAGGCTTGAGGAGATCTTGTAGACTCCAACACCCACTTTACCAGTGATCCCACCCCAAGTCCTCCATGGCATCTAAACTTCTCCAGCCCCTGGATCTGTCTTCCCCAACCCCACCAAACCCACTGGGCGTTACCAAAATCCACATGGGGGGCCAAGGCCTGTGGGAGCTGGTAGGGACGTGGGGACCTTACAACATGGGTCTCCGCAGGTCCTCCCACATAGTGATGAAACTCAGCCCCAGAGAGCAGCAGCTCTGCCTGTCTGGAGGTCAGAGATGGGAGAACAGAGGTCAGAAAGCACAGAATGGAGCAGAGGGCACTGCCTGAGCATCACTGGGCAATCAGTCATTGTCTCCCCATGCATTAAATCCCACCCACAAGTTCCCAGCAAGCTCTCAGCTCCCTCCCATTGGGGTGACTAGTCTCCCTGATGGGATGATTGGTGCCCCTGTGGAGCAATCAATCCCTCTCACCGGACACTCAGCCAGCAAGTCAGAAAGTCCTGTGTGGTCACCGAATGGCAGTTCCGGGCTCCAGCTGCCAAGAGCCATTTTTGGACTGTGCGGAGGGTCAGTGGTGATGGGCGGACCAGCTCAGCCACATCCTCTAGGGTTAGGTATTTTCCTGCAGGGATTCAGAAGAGGCTTTTGCCTTCATTCATTGCTTTTCCAAGTTGCCCACTTTGGACCTCAACCATGAGACATCGGGACTTCCTAGGGAGTCTAAAGCAGGATAAAGGAAGACTGTGCAGGTGCAGGGTATATTTGGGGGGCAGGGGAAGAAAAATCTAGAGAGATTTGGAATGCCATGCCCAAGAATATGGATTTACCCTAAAGGCCAGAAAGTTGCAAATGCTGTACGACAGCATGCATTGCCATGCTCATGAAAAATAAATTTAAAATTTCCATTTTAAGTTTATCTCCAATAAAATTTTTCAAAACTTTTGGGGGCAACTATAAGATAATATCTAATTTAGCTCAGGTCTTCACACGTGTTAATTTTAAACTAAACATGATGATGAGTCACTGTTTCCTGCATGCAGCCATGCACACTAGTGCTCACCTCTTGGGTGAATCTTAGGCTGCCTGCCTTGCCCACCTCCACTGTACACAAACACACACACACACACTCGCCCTGCCATGAAGGGCTTTAACCAGGGGAAGGAGACAATACAGTTTGAACATTGGAAAGACTGTTTTGAAGCAGAGTGGGGAGTGGGGTGGGGAGTGGGGAGGAGGGAGGAGACTGCAGACCAGTCAGGGGACTGGGCAGTAGTCCAGGAAAAGGAATAAACAACTGGGTTGGTGTCAAAGAGAATGGCAAGTAGACTAGTCCAAGGAAGTGCTCTCTAGGAGTTGGAACTGGCAGCCTTAGTGTCTGAACAGAGGAGGAAATGGGAGTAGGTTCGAGGGTCGGGGGAGGAACTTGAGTTGATGAACACCTATATGTACTAGATGACATTTCCTCATTTGTCTGGTAGCTAGTAAGTGGTAGAGTCAGAATTTGAGTCCAGATCAGATCACGTGCTCTGAACCACACCCACTTTTAGGTTTCTAGCCTGAGGAACACAGGTGTTTGACAGGCCCTGAGACATGACCCTGTCCTATGCCCAGCCCAGCCCTGTGTCCCGCCACTGCTTCCCATATCCCATCCCCAATCCCAACAGGCACCATAGCGAGGAGAGCTGGGATCCGACACAGCCTGCACCAGCTCCGAGAGTCTCTCCAGGTTCTGCTGTCTCAGGGCAAAGGTAAGACTCAGCTCTTCCTCAGGGTCTGCACGGCCCAGGGACACCCAGCCTGGGGGAAGCCTGTAGGGTCAGGGGTCAGGGACATGGCCTTGGTTAGGGTGGGGATGGAAAATACTGGACACTAAGGTTTCAGATTAGGAACTGAGACATAGATACAGATATGGATCACGGTAGGTAAAATGATAGGGGACTGAGCCTGGGAACCTGGGGATTAGTCTATGGGGTGGGATAAGCTCCTAGCACGGGGATGAGGGGAGACAGGAACCAGGATAGTGGGAGCAGAACAGGACATGGGGAAGGGGACGGGCAGTGCTAAGTCAACTCACGTCCTCCGCTGGTCGGGCTCTGGGCTGTAACTGCATTTGCCAGAGAGGATGAGGGCAAGCAGGCCTAGGAGGCTGTAGGGGCAGCAGGTGGGTTTCAGCAGAAGCTGGATTGTCACTGTGTTCCCACCCTCCAACATGTACTCCCTCCAATGTGATCCCCTTCTCCCAGGACCCCCTAATTTCTCACCAGGCTCGGAGTCCCATTCCGCCTTTCTGTAAGATCTGCTGTCATGTGATGGATCACATGAGCACCCCATCCTTTGCCTAGTAACTAGTGACGTAAGGGTACTGGCTCCACCCTTGAATGGGTGGTCCTGAATGCTGGGAAAGGGTGGGGCTGCCACTGGGACTCTCCCTCTCTGGATACTCAAGCACATGGTAAGCCCAGGGCTCCCCACCTGCTGCCTGAGTCTGGCCGGGTGAGAATCACCACAAGGAAGCGGGCTCCGGAGGCCCACAGACCTCAGTTCTTCCTAGTTGCATATCAGGAAAGTAAACTCTCAGAGCCTAGGTTTTTTCATTTATAATACAGATGTTATTATATAAAAGCGATCTGCTTCATAGGGTTGCAGTGGAAAAAACCTTTTTCCTCCTTCCTTACCCTGTCTCCCCGTATTATCAGTTTCATGCTCATTCTAAGATGAAATTTATGAGCAGACTGAAGCTTTTGAAAGGTCAAGATCCTTTTAGTCAAATCAGGGTCTGGTTTTCAATGGCTTTTCAGGAGATCTATAATCCGATGGGGCCCTATTTTTTATGAGTTCCCAAGGTTTTCAAGAAAAACAATTTTGTTCCAAGAGCCATGGAGGAATCTTACATCAATGTTTAGTGGGCTCACGTGGATAAAATGAATCCAGACCTCTGCTTCTTCCTAATCGTAACTCCAAGCCCTCAAGGAGGTCTGAGTTGACCACTTCTATTTGCGGTCTTTACGAGATGATTTTCAATGAGACTTGAAACCCTGCGGACTCAACTTCCCTTGCAGGCTTCCTCAGTGTTCTTTCTTCTAAAAATTCATGCAGAAGAGTGTATAATTTTAACTTCCCAAACCATTAGTCCAGTACTCATTAAAATCCCTGTTCTGACCTCCATACTTTTGAGATATATCCCTCTACTCTTGCTGTTATCCTACAGATCGTTACCATCTATTGTCCTATAGATTCTAGCCCCACACTGAGGATTTTGGCACCTAGCCTTTCTGTCTACTCCAACTCCTGCTATCATTTGACCTAGACAATTAAAGTGTCTTAGTAGGAGACCTATTCAACACCCCAACCTCCCATTCCTTTCATCCCATCAAACCCAATGAGCGAGACCTTCACTTCACTTAAGCAAACCAGTCCCATGCTACATCTTGGACTTGCCATCTCTCAGAACTGCTCTACCTTTGAAATTACGGCATCCTTTCTCAGACTATAACCTTCTGTTTTCTCAAGCTGTTGCATTTCCTCACTCCCATTAAAATTAATCTAACTTCCTCCTGTCCCTCGATCCCTCCACTTTTCTCCAAATCCAACATCTCCCATTGAGTTTGGCCCCGGGGAACTGTATTTACTACCACCATGCTCTGAAACCTTTTTCTTTGACCACAACCTTCTTTCTTTGCAATTTCCTCAGTCCTGTGAACTTCTCAAACATTGACTCATCTCCTTTCCCTCACTTCCTGGGATCCCCAAAGAATAGTCTACACCAGTGGTTCCTAGATCTCATTTTGCGGCAGTAAAAATTTACACTGAGATAAAGCAAGCAGGTCACCTGGCAGAGAACCTGATGTGGCAAAGCTCAACAAATGTGAGCTCTTATTACAGTGTGTATACTTAGTGGTCCCAAGAAAAAGAAACTACTTGGCTGCTCTTGTATCCACCCCCACCTCTTTTAAGACCCTCAGGCCTAGAGCTGATCATCCCCTAAGAGCCCTTTCTAGGTTGCTGCTACAACCAAGACCCAGCTGGCCTCTTGCCCATATTAGAGGGAAAAGATTGACTGCAGAGAGATGTATCACTAGCCTCAGTCCAGGCTCCTGAGCTCCCACTCTAGACGCACCCATGTCCCCCACCCCTCTCTGCCTCCTGAGGTGCCCACAATACTGTGCCAGATGTCTTCCAGTCATCCCCACAGAACAGAGCCGGAGGCTGGATACAAACTGCAGTTTATTAAGGCTCCAGAGTGAGAATTGGCACTTGGTTCTGGGCAGGGGCAGGGGTGTCAGTGGAACCCAAAAGAGCTGGGCTCAAACAGGTTCGAGGGACCCCTTCCGTCTCCCTACCCCCCAATAAATAAAGTCTCAGCTCCATCTCAGGATGCTGGTACCAGGGCAGGAAGCCCTCATCGAGGAGAACCCAGGGCTGCCACCTCCTTCATATTTCTCCCCACATTGGACCTGGCCACAGGTCAGTGACCAAAAGGGCCAAAAGGTCCCAGTGCTCTGAGGAGGCTGGAGAGTTTGGGGTGGAGAGCTGGGGCCCAGTGGTGGCCTCCCCGTGGCCAGTAATGGTCCGAGGCTGCCCAAGGCAGGCTCAGAGTGGTGCCTGCATTGGGGACACTGTGCGTGTCCCAGGTCGGGGCCCAGCCTGGGCCACAGCTAGATGTGCAGCTCTGTGTCATCAGGCGGCTCCAGGCCAGACTCTGCGCTGAGTGCCGAGGCTGAGGGGCCCTGGGCCACCCCAAATGGCGAGACAACAGGTGAGCGAGCAGCCAGAGGAGACAGTGAGGGTGAGAAGCTGGGGGACATGGCAGCTGAGGACAGAGAGCCTTCATGGCTGATAGGGGAGCGGTGAGAGGCCGGTGGGAAGATGGCCCGGGCTGCAGCCGTACTTGCTGGCTTTGGGGGCACAGACTTGGCTCCTGGGTGGGCCACGGCAGTGATGAGGGGTGGTGGGTCAATACGGGGAGCTGGGGGACATGGCCGAGCTTCATCCTTGAGCCGAGCGATCTCTGTGAAGACACTGGCCAGTGGCTGGAACTGAGGGCACCAGCTCAGCAGGTAGTCCCAGTTATAGCTGCCACGGAGCTCTTCCTCGCCAGCCACAATGGCCGTCAGCGCACCTGCCACACATGGCTTGCCATCTGCTGGAAAGCCATAGTCCCCAGTGGGTGCGGGGCTCAGGCCACAGCCCCCCAGGAAGGCTGTGGCAGTGGTTGGAGGCCCCTCCTCTCGGTACAGAGTGGCTCCTGTGCCTGGCAGCAGCAGCCCTGCCTTTCGGCCCTTATACCAGGTGTCAGGGGCAGGTGGCTCACAGGATGTGTCACTCAGTCCATCTGCATCCTGCTGGATGCCGGAGTCAGGGCCACGGGCAGCCAGGGAGGACGCCACACTAGCCACACGGGGGAACTCATTAATCATGCGGATCTCATCATCCTCCGCAGCCTCTGCTGAGCCTCGGCCACTTGAGTGCGAAGGGTCCAGGGAGCCACCACGGGGGTAAGGTCCTCCAGCTCCTGGCCCACCATAGCTAGGGAGAGTCTGGTGATACAGGTGCTCTGAGGGTGGTGGACTGGGTGGCTCCCGGCCCAGCTTCTGTAGGGAGCCACTGGCTAGGGGTGCTGCCTGTGACATTGGGCCAGGGGCTGCCTCAGCCTTGCGGCTACGGGCCCGAACAAGTCCTAGGACCAAGGCTGCCAGTGCGAGCACCACAACAACTCCCAAGGAGGCCGCCACAGCCCCCACCAACAGCAGGTTGAGGTCAGGTGCCAGGCCCAGTGCAGTGTGGGTGATATCCACAGTCACGGGCACTGTGGCACTCCGGGAACCAGGCAGAGGACCCCGGGCTACCACCTCCAGCCTAAGCTCCCGTGGTGCCTCACGCCGGGTCCGGCCCCCACCCCCAGAAGTGGCTGTTCCGCTGCCTGGTGCCCGACTGTCCACCCGCAGGTATAGGGCACCTGTAGTCTGGTTGATACCAAAATACGGGGAAGGAGAGGCAAGGGAATAGAGCACCAAGCCATCAGCACCGCCATCCTCGTCTGTGGCCTGCACGTGACCCAGGCTGTGGCCACGCCGGGCACCTTCTGGCACTTGGAAGTGGAAGGCTGGAGCCAGGAATACGGGGTCATACTCGTCCTCTCCAGTCACCAGCACTGACACAGTGACAGAGGCTGAGAGATTCCCAGCATCAGCAGCACCCACCAGCAGCCGGAAGCTTCCTGTGTGCTCATAGTCAAAGGGCACTCGTGCCCGCAACTCCCCAGTTGAGCTGTTCAGTGCAAATGCCTCACGGCCCTCAGGCCCTGGCCCAGCCTCCAAGAGGCTATAGCGGAGCCTACCAAAAGCTCCAGCATCGCCATCAATTGCATGCAGAGTGGTCACAAGAGTGCCTGGAGGCTGGTTCTCAGCCAGGCTGGTGCTGAGCAAGTTTAGTGGGAAGGCTGGGCCATGGTCATTCACATCCTGGACCTCGATAGTTACTGGTGCCAAAGCAAAGTGTGCACTGGCAGGGTCGGCAGCCTGCACTACAAGCTGATGTCGAGCCTGGGTCTCACAGTCCAAGGCGTGGGCCAGTCGCAAGGCACCTGAGCTCTCATCCAGCTCAAAGAGCCCTGATGGGTCCCCTGAGCTCAGGGTGAAACGCACGAGGCCATGAGGGCCAGGGTCAGCGTCGGAGGCCTCCACATGCAGCAGCTCGGCTCCAACAGGTGTGTCCTCAGGTACTGCCACATGGTAGGATGCTTGGGTAAAGACAGGTGGGTTGTCATTGACATCCAATATGGTGACAGTGACTGGCACAGCTGAGCTGCGTGGTGGCTGCCCCCGGTCAGCTGCAGCCACAGTTAGATTATACTGTGTCAGGCTTTCAAAGTCTAGAGGTTCAAGCAGCACCAGGCAGCCTAGTGCCCGGGGGCCTGGTCCAACACCCTCCCCAGCCTCAGCTAGCCGGGGTTCCAGCTGGAAGATGTGGCCCCGGTTGCCACTGATGATGCTATAGTCCACGGCAGCATGGGTACGGCTTCTATCAACATCTGTGGCCTCCAGGGTGAGCAAGGTGGAGCCAGGGGGCAGATCTTCAGTCACAGCCACACGATAGTGTGGCAATGTGAAGCTCGGGGCATGGTCATTTTGGTCCTGTAGCTGCACATGAACTGTGGCTCGTGCTGCCCGGCCTGGAGCCCCGTGGTCTCGTGCTTCCAGCACCACATCCACTACTCCTGGTTCCTCATGGCCCAAGGCCACTGTTCCTACTGTTGTGAACACGGTCCCTAAGATGAGAAGGGTAGAGAAAGAAACATGTATTCAGCAGAGGCTGTAGGTGAGCA